GGTGAGAAATGGAAAGGCGTGCTTCCCGGGAGGCAGAGAGCCAGGCTTTCTTGCTGTGTAGACAGAACTGTCTGTCCCGCCTGGTCCTGCAGCCATTCAGTCCCAAATACACACGGGTTTATATTAATTATAAACTGTTTGGCTTATTAGCTCAGACTTATTATTAATCAACTCTTACAACTTAAATTAACTCATAATTCTTATCTATGTTTAGCCACATGGCTTAGAACCTTTTCTTAGTGAGGCATTCTCATCTTGCTTCCCCTACGTCTCTCGTGACTGTGGCTCTGCCTTTCCTCTTCCCAGAATTCTTCTAGTCTAGTTGCCCTGCCTATATATCCTGCCTAGCTACTGGCCAATCAGCATTTTGTTAAACCAATATGAGTGACAAATCTTTACAGTGTACAAGAGCATTAGCCTATATCAGTGCTGTCTGCTGAGGCTGTCTTGAAAGGACAGCTTGAGGGACAATGATGGTAGCTGGTATGGAGTTAGACTTCTAGGTCATGGCATGTAGTCTTATTTTTAGTCATCACAATGGTTCCTTGTTTGGGCTAATTGATTGGATAGTCTTCTTGGGCCTGTCCTGGGTCTTCATTTGCCAAAGGAGTAGGACTGAGAGGAACTGGTCCTTTGACACTTGGCACAAAGCAGTGACTTTGGTCCCTTGCTCACCTGTGAATGGCATGGACATGGACTGTAATGGGTGGAAGATGTGGCTTAGCCCCTCCAAGAATATTGTTGGTATGCAGTCTTAGTGGCTGTTATTGGGATGGGTGGCCACATGGCCATTCTCTAAGTTCTGAAGACTTCATGAACTGGAACATTTTGACCAGGTATTTGTTCTCCATAACATGACTCTGTTGTTATAGGTATGGTGGTACCTTCCAGAATGTGTCTGTTAAGCTGCCCATTACGCTCAACAAATTTTTTCAGCCCACAGAAATGGCTTCTCAGGATTTCTTTCAACGTTGGAAGCAGTTGAGCAAGTGAGAGGGCTGTACTATGGGTGGAGAGAGGTTGGGGCTGTCCTCGGACAGGATGATCTATGGGTCTCAGCATGGCTTTTAGTACTAACATGCTGCTTTTTGTAGTCCTCAGCAAGAAGTGCAGAATATCTTCAAAGCAAAGCATCCGATGGACACAGAGATCACTAAAGCAAAGGTAAAGGGTTGCATGGTGATGTCGCTGAGGCAGGAATTGTGACCAGTGCATCCTGACCTGCCTCTTCATTCTGTATAGATTATTGGATTTGGTTCTGCACTCCTTGAGGAAGTTGATCCGAACCCTGCAAATTTTGTGGGTGCTGGCATAATCCATACCAAAACCACCCAGATCGGCTGCTTGCTGCGCCTGGAGCCAAATCTGCAAGCTCAGGTGAGGCCTCCACAGCAGGAGGATAAATATGATTGTGTTGTTTTTTATTTTGGTGAAGTTTATTTATGGAGACAATCAGATTCTAAGTGTTGGTCATATGACAGTGCAGACACTTAGACAGCAACTGGCCATCAGAGCACATAGATTTCCCTCTCCTCACAGAAGGCCTGGTATGCCACCACGTTGCCCATGTAGCAGCCTAGCTCTGAGTTGTATCTGCCCAGCTCTCCTGGTGCTATCTTGTTCTTCCTCCCTCCCTGAATGTGGTATACATTGCTGCTTGCTTCAGCAGTATTCTAGAGACTCCAGTCTATGTATTCTATTGATTATGGGTACTTGTTTTCACAACACTTAGGTGGTTTTGGGAGTGTAATGATCATCTCTAAGGGTGGTGCATAATTAACTTTATGAGAAGCTCTCAAGCTTGTTGTGTATTGTGGTGCATGCCTATAATCTCAATACTCAGGACGAGAAGGCAGGAGGCGTAACATCAAGGCCAGCCTGGGCTACATAGTAAGACTGTATCTCAAAATACAAAAGGCTGACTCCCACCTCACCAACATCCATCCCCCTTTGCTGCAAACACTTGCTTTTATTAGACTTCTCTATTTTTACTGGTAAAACTGATGCTTCGGGAGGGGCTTCTGTGAATGATGAAGCCTGTGCCACAAAAATACCTGCTAAGAGCCTGAGGCTCAGTGCCTGCTCACCCTGCTGCTCTCTGTTTCAGATGTACCGACTCACGCTGCGTACCAGCAAAGACACCGTCTCTCAGAGACTATGTGAATTGCTGTCGGAACAGTTCTAATCCACAGGCCAGAAGAGCAGGCTTTTTGTTTGTGTGTCTCTCTTGTCTCTACCGTTTGTCTTTGTACCACACTGCAGATAAACACCCCTTGTCTGAAAAACTGCCACTCAAGGCATGTCCAGTCGTACACCTACAGCCAGCCCTGTGGGTGTGGAGGGAATGCAGGACACAGTTTGAGAAGGGCTGCAGCAGGCCTGCTCCATCAAAGAAGGGTGCCTGGACCTGGAAAATCAAGGCAGCCCTGTGGTTCAACTACAAATTAAAGGGAAATTAGAAGTTTGAACGAAAGTGGAAATTTTGTTCAAATTTTATTAAAATGCCACTGACTCATTCTCAGAATCCAGAAACAGCGCCATGTGCTTATAAGGTTAACACAGGGCTGTGTGGCCATGCTGAATGGTAACAGCAGTGGCCTAGAGATGTGTAACCACATGGGCTGAGCAGAGAGCTCTTGGGGTTTGCTATAGCACTACCTGATGGTGCTGGAGTGCTTGTGTTTATGACTGTCGGCAAACTCCATGCCTCATTCATGGCAGGATCCTGTGCCTAGCATACCAGTGTTCTTAAAGGGACAGTTTAAACATTTTACTACTTATTTGAGACCTTAGGTTTGCAGCATGGTGGGTAGAGGGGTTCCTATTGACTTTGGAAAACATGGACATCACCCATCTTTTGTTTTTTAATGAATGTGCTGTTCCTATGGTTCATTCTGGGAACTTGAAGGTTAATGGGTCAGGTGGTGAAGTAATAATTCATAAAGTGTGCTTCTTTCCAGAGGGTCTTAGTTGGTGCCCCAGTATTGTACTCTCACTTCTGTGAAGCCCTTGTGGTTGGGTGGAAAAGGGAGGCCTAATTGCAGTAATGAAGTGAGAGGCAGGGGTGAAAATGGTAGCCCAGGCAGGTACTGTGCTAAGAATGCACTGGACTTCCTAGCTTGAGCACTGGCAGCTCAATTGTTAGTTACCCTTTTGGAGGCATTGGACTGTATGTGCAGCCCATCAGGGGAAGAACATAGACCATGTCAGAAGCTTTGGGATACTGGGCTGGAATCCTGCACTCGGCCTTGAGATGGTGCCCAGAATTGCTGTGGATGCTGCTGTACAGGCTTATCTGTACTTACACAGCAATGTTGATGCCCCTTGTCACTTAGAGCACTAGGTGTGGTCACATATGCATGAGGGTTTTTTTCCCCCCTCAGGCTGCCAGCCTGTCATGGTGGGTCTGAGGATAGTAGCAGGGTTCCTATCCCACTCAAGCTCCTGCAGCCCCACTCTGTACAGCCCGGGCAGTTAGTTCAGAACAACCAACACCTGCTATGCTGACCCTTGTGTTCCATGAAGCCCTTAATCTGGCTATCATATGTTGTGATCCATATCTGCCATGACACAGGCTTGTGTTGCAGGAGGATGATCTAGCTGTGGCCACAGTGAGCCTCTGGAGTTCTCTTGCTCCGGTAGCTGGACATTGTGGCTCTCCATTACATGCAATCCACGCACTGCTGCAGGACCATGTGGAGTGCTCAGTCTGTGTGGCTGTGGCTTATGTACCATGTGCTATCCAGTGATGGTGTTTAACTCAGTAATGTCCCTGCACATGAAAGCTGCTGGGGCACAGGCCCACTCTTTGTGACTCCTGGGCCTCCGTCAGTACAGTGTGCTTGTTCTCAGAGGAAAAAAAAATAAATGCTAGGACAGGAAACTGGAACACGTGTGTGATCTTTATGGGGAGTTTCCAGTACTGGCCTCAGTCCTTGCCCTGTGGAATTGAGTACGACTCAGAGTCAAGGACTCTGAAGTGCTACTTGCCTCTCAATTCAGGAGTACCTCAGGGAGTGATTGTCTTAGCTCTGTCTGTGTGATGCTGGGTGTGTTGAACCTAGCATGGGTCCACACACTACCATAAGTCTGTGGCTACAGTTCACTGAAGTCTGTACCTGGAAGATTTGGTCTAAGCACATAGGACCCATGGACTCAGGACTTCTCTCCCCTCCCCCACTCTGGGGCTGCACATAAGAGATGGTCCTTGCCTGGGAAGCCTGGAAGATAGTGGGTTTCATCACAGACTTAGCAAAATCCTGGATGGAAGCAGCTCAAAACCAGGGCATTTCTGCCTTAGCCCCATCGAGCACAGTCCCAGGTCCTGATGACCTGGTCTGTGCAAGTATTTGTGACATCATGCTCAGGATCCTGGAAGAAGACAGCAGCATGCACACACCAGGTTCTGCCTTGAAAAGAACCAGTTTATTTGGAATCTGCTCATTGTTGGGTGGTGACCTCCTGTCCAGCGGGTGCCAATGCCTTTTACTTCTCCCTGACTCTGGGGAGACCTTTCCTTGTGCCTCTCTGGTGCTGATCTTGCTGCCTGCCCCTACCCAAGGTTCATACCTCTGCATCTTCCTCCTGTTATTCCCAGTGTCTCCCCAGGTACCCTGTCCAGTCTTCCCAGCACCTTGTTTGGTGCTCTGATCTCTTGGGCATTATAGCCAGAGACTGGAAGGTGTATACAGGTGGACAGGAAATTCCCAAGGCATCAAAGGTTGAAGGGATGTGAGTAGTTCATTTCCACTGAAGGTCTGTTTTGCTAGGTCAAGGTCTGCAGGAGGTAGATGGTAGAAGGCTTTTGCATGGCAGCTGTTGCTCTGTTTCTCTGCTGCCTCAGGGTGAGCCATGTTCAAGGTCTCTTTGAGGCCATGCCCGTGGCCAGTAAGAGGATTGCTTGTTACAGTGTTGGGGAAGTATCAGAAATGACTTTTATGTGTGTGTGTCTGTCTGTTTTTGACCCCATTGTGCCCAAGAAACCAGTTGTTATTTAGTCCTTGCATTGCAGGGAGCTACATGCACAACTGCTGAACACTTGGAGGGTGAGTGTGAGCTGCTGACCTGGTGCATTGGGATCTGGACAGGGCAGGGAGACTTGCTTCTCATAGATATTGAGGGGCTGGCAGCAGCCACAGTGGGTCTCCAACTGCAGGGTGTCGGTATTGAAACTGTCAAGAAGCAGAGAACAGCATGGTCAGGACTGGCCCCCTCCCTCTAGGTCAGTCCCAAAGTAGAATGGATACTATAACTGACTTGTAGGTCAGACCCTCTGGAGTCAGCACTTGCTTATGGGTAAGGAAAGTGTGGCCAGAATGAACTGCCTAGAGCAGTGGTTCTCAACTTTCCTAATGCTGTGACCCTTTAGTATAGTTCTTATACTATAGTGATACTCAACCATAAAAATTATTTTAATTGTTACTTTATAACTAATTTTGCTACAGTTATTAATCGTAAGTAAGTATTTGTATTTTCCAATTGTCTTAGGTGGCTGTGAAAGGGTCATTTGACCCCCCCCCCCCCCGCCCCAGGGTCACAACTCATAGGTTGAGAAGCACTCACCACTCTATCAGAGTAGGTGACCTTGAGAACCCAGTTCCTGGTAGGGTTTGGGTCCCAGCAAAAAAGGAGGGTGTTTGCCAAAAACTCACCTGACAGAGGAGGCACACAAACCCTGGCAGCGAGTTAGAGTCACATTTGCTGTGCAGCCTTGGTAGGTGATCTCTCGCTCCTCTTCCTGCAAGCTGCAGGTCTCTGGAGATGGAGGCCCAAGAGCAGGTCTCAGTTACATCCTAGTCCCCACCCGACTTCCTTCTCTACGTAGCAGCTTTCCCTTCAGTACGCAAGGCTTCCTTAAAGAATCTGACATTGAACCAGGCCTAGGTAGATCTGAGTCAGTCACCCACAATCCCCAGTAAAAGTGTCTTAGGTCTGTTGGATGTAGGGCATACTAAGGACCAAAGGAGGGTGTTGAAGGAGAATGTCCATGTCCCTCACAAAAGAACATGCAGTATCTGAGAATAAGCATTGTGCCACCTGGGTTAAGGGACACACAGAGAAAGCCTTTTGCTCTGTACTTCTGCAAGGGTTTCAGAGGCTATGACATCCAGTGACAAATGGTGGTGGTGATGTCTCAGCAGGCAGGCAGCTCTCTTGACCTAAGGAACTGCCAGTGTGGGCAGTGTCTAGAGGTGGACACCTGTAGAATCAGCACTCAGGAGGCTGATTAATGAGTTCAAGGAGGAAGTTAATGAGTTCAAGAAGAACCCATGTTAGATACTGCCTAGTGGTACTTAGGTTACAAAGTTAAAAATTGGGGTTGGGTGGTGTTGGCGCATGCCATTAATCCCAGCCCTTGGGAGGCAGAGGGGGTTGAATCTCTTTGAGTTCAAGGCCAGCCTGGTCTACAGAGAGAGTTCTATGACAGCCAGAGAAACCCTTTCTTGAAAAACAAAACAAAAAGTTGGGGGCTGGTAAGATGATCCAACAGGTCCCTAGAAGTCACATGATGAGAAAACTGGCTCCTGCAAGTTTCCACACAACACGGTTTAAGTTAAAAATGATTTGTGGGTGACAGATATGCTCTATTTATTTATTGTCTCTCTCCTGTGCTCATTTATCCCTGCTCTGATTGTCTTAAGAGAGTCTGGTGCTCTTCTGTTCAAATGACACTCTGCTTTCTTTCCTCACTTCCTGAGGCCATTTTCTAGGAAAAGAGCCTGAACTTAAAGTGACAGTCGGTAACCATAAGACAGGAACTGATTGCTGGCTCTGTGAGGACTTCCTGAACAAGGGAGGCCTAGAGCATGTGTAGGGAGCCTGGTCCTGAGGTGGGTGTCTCGAGAGGAACACTCCAATCGGGTGTCCTCAGAGTATATGTTGAACTCATGTTCCTGTGCAGGTTGACCCTGTGATCTACAGAGATCACTGCCCTGTGGGGACCCTGGTTGTTGTTGGGTAGAGAGCTAGTGGAAACCATGGCAATGAGAAATGTACACACTAGTTTCCAGGCCTTACCTGGCCTCCATCCCACCTCTGCCTCCTGCATGTCCCCTCAGATGAGATGTGCCAGGACTAGGCTATCATTTTCTTTAGCACTGACGTAGATTGCATTTCTAAACTCAGGGCCCAACTAGATCTCACATGCTAGCTTCCCAAGGGGCAGGCGTGGAGCGCTGCTTAGAGACGTTAGGAAGGCACGCGGGCCACTGGTGAGTTCCTTGCAGGAAACAGAGGGCTAGAGAAGTCAAATGGGCCTGAAATGTATGGGATCAAGTCCTTAATTCAGACAGATGGGGGAATACAGAATAGTGCTCCTTAGAGGCAAAGAGAAAGGAACTTGCAGTTAGGTCCAGAAATACCCAAAGAAGCTTCAAGATCAGGCCTTCATGGAAGCACCAAGTGATAATGGGAAGAAAAAACACACTATAAACCAGACCACTCTTGTGAAGAATTCTGTGGAGTAAACAGTTGAAACGTAAGTAGGCTGGGACCAAGGAGTCAGCCAGTGTCACCACTTACCAGGTTGAGGGGACGGAGAGATGGAAGAGTCCGGCTTGGAGGGTGACACTAGGGTAGAAGGTGAGGAGCTTCCACTGGTAGTAGCAGGGCTGCTCAGGAACGCAGTTGTAGGCAGTGGGCTGGTACCAGGAGGTCTAGTGGTGTGGTTGGTGTCTGGGGAACTTGGGAAGACTGTCATGCCCATGGTTGAAGACAGTAGCCCGGATGTAGAGGCTTGGGTAGTGAGGGAGGTAAACTGGGAGGTGGTGGACTTTGAGGAGAACGAAGAAAAGGTGGGGACGTGAGATGTAGTCTTGGCAGTGGATAGAAGGCTAATGCTGACGGTTGGCCTACTAGACGGGGTAGGCATCGTGGGGAGGGTGGGGAGAGCAGAGGAAGAAATGGACGAGGTGACAAGGGGGGAAACAGAGGAATTAACAGGAGTAGAGGCGGCAGTTGGAGATTCAAAGGAAGAAACAGATGAAGGATAAGACACGCTGGTGGGTGTAGTGAACAATGGCGAAGGTGACGCTGAGCTGGGAGTAGGTGTGAGAGGGAACGTCATGGAAGAAGATGGGGAGGATGCGGAAGAGTGGAAAGAGGTAGGGGATGAAACAGAAGGAGAATGTGGAACACTACTGAGAGAAACCACAGTGGATGTGAAACTTGTTGGAAGAGAAGAGGAGGAAGGGGAAACAGAACTGTGGGGAACTGAGGATGGACTCAGCTCCGAGGATGAAGTTCTTGCTGTTGTAAATGCAGAAGTAACTTGGGTAGTAGCACTTGTACTAGAAGAGACAGGTGGTTCTGTTGTGGGAGAACGTGTACCGGTCATTGGGGTTGTTGGAAGAATTGTACTCAGTAGGAGAGATGTGGAAACTGATGAGAGAGTTAGGGTGCTAGGGGTCTTGGAAGTAGGTGACAGAAAGGACGTTGAAAATAATGACTGTGGTGTGGATGACGACCAAGTACCAGATGAGGTTGGAAAATAGGAGGTGCTCTGTATGGACGTCTGTGAGGGGAGACCTGTGGTGTGCACTGTGCTAGAGAAAACAGCAGTGGATGAAGGGTGTGTGGTGTGTGGTGTTTGAGGACGACTAGGTGTCACTGAGGTGGTTTTGGAGACAGGAGTACCAGTTACAGACATGGTAGTCCCAGTTGATGCGCTTGTAGCAGGAACTGATGTGGACTGATGGGCAGTCATGGAAGAAGTGTGTGAAAGGTGGGAAGTAGAGGTTCTGCCCGTGGAGAATGT